TGGGCAATTTGCCATTAATCAAAATAATTCATATCTGGATTGTGATGAAAAAACAAAAATAAAAACTAAAATAAATAACATTTTGACTTACTTAAATTATTTTTGTTGTTAAATTAAGGTTTTCATAGGTGAAAAAAAATATAAACAAATCGATTAATCGATTTAAAAAAAATACTCTATGCGTTCAATAATTATATCGTTGTCAACACGAAAGATATCGCCATACAAATTCAACGAAGTGAATGTGTTGTTACACATTTGAATTTATTATATTACGATTTTAAAATTTGTATCATTTTTGTTTTGAACAGTCAATAAAAAATTAAATAAATAATAAATCAGTTTTGTAATAAAAGATATTTTTTAATAAAACAAACAATATTTTAAAGTTAAAACTTTGAATAATATAAAACCAAAATGATAAAAATGTTTTTCATCATCAAGAACAATTACATACGTTTGTCATAACCCAAACAACTGGTTTAATTGTTTATTAATTACAACAATACATACAATAAAACTACGAATAACAAAGACACATTATCAATAAAGTACACTTTTATCACAAACACAACTTAATATATAAAAATTTAATCATGTAAAATGTTAAGATGTCGGAATAATAACTTATTAAAGTATATGATTAACACGACATTAAACAGCTGAGTAATGTTTATAACCAAAATATCATGTAAATTTTAAAAACAACACAAACAATGAAAATAATTAATTAAGTTGTATTGATTAATTTCTATGATGAAATTATTTTAATTACGTTAATTGTTAAAAATGTGATTTAAAAATGAAGTCGATTAACATATGTATAATTTTACACATTTAAAGTTGTCTCTAAGTTGTATACCTTTTAATTAATTGAAAAAACAAAGTTAGTGCATTACAAAACCTTTGAATGTGTAAATAAAAATAAACATTTGTGTTAATTTTTTTATTGATATGTTTTTTGATAAAATATTAAGAGATAAATAATTTAATTTCTGATTGGAGCTTATGTTTAATAATTGTGACATTTCGTTTGTTCAATGAAAAATCTTTAAGAATTTGTCATAGTATAATACTTTTTTTTAATTTTAGTCGTTGCATCGTTATTCACAAATATTATACAACAACTTATGTTAACAATTATAGACAAGTGTTATTTATTGTTTTTTTTACTTAATTATCATAATATTTTTTTCATCTCACAACACACAAAAGAA